TCCACCTCAATTATTCGCGTCAAAGTATTCACACAATACGTCTACCATCCGCGTAGAAGGAGCCGAAAAATCGTAACGACGGGAATGTCGCTTTTAAAGATTGTCGTACTTACATTAATTTGCGCCTTCCGAAAATTTAAGCAGTCTCTATTAACTTTAGCAAGATATATGCAAATGGACAAATACCTTGCGCTTCTTCTCCCTCCTTGTCTCTTGCAAATTACTGACGGACTAAAAGATCTTCGATGCGAAGTTGAGTTTCGCTTCCAACATTTGGTCGAGAATTCAACCCCGAATCGTACCACGAGCCGGTGGGAATCCGCAGCATCTTCCCAGGAAGATCTTCTTGTCCGGAAGCAAAATGAATTCGTTTGTCCTTTCATCGACAAAGAAACGAACGGCTGCTAATGGAAAGTAAAGTGAAGAGTAGGGTTGAGCAAGATAGACCACTCAAATCGGAATCGGACCGGACCGATCCGGACTGACTGGTTTGGTTCAGTTCTCAGAAATATCGGTCCGGTTCCCTATTCCTGAAAGTAGAACCGGATTCCGGGAGATCCGGTTCCCGGTTCTAGGGTGGGAACTGGACCGGACCGGACCGGATCGATAAATATATATATTTTTTTAATTTTTTCATATATATAATATTTAATATATATATGAAAAATATTTAATATTGGTCCATTGAAACCGATTGTTCAATTTTTTCATATATTATATATATTTTTTCAATTTTTTCCATGGCCTTATGGAATCAAATCAGAATTACAAAGGAAAGAACGGAACGATCGATTTCCGGTTCACAAATAATATTTAATATTAGTCTTATTGGAACCGGTCCCCAGTTCTAGAAACTGGAAACCGGTCCTCCCGGTCGGGTTCCCGGTTTTTAGGTTGGATCGGACCGGACCGGCAACCACCCATCCCTAGTGAAACGAGACGTGATCAAATTGTGTTTTGGCAGCAGCAGCAAAGTCGACAGAGTTTCAACTCTTCTCTGGTTCCTCCCTCCACATGAATGCCCTTCGTTTTCAGCTTCGTAGGTCCCTCGAAATAGCCCACTAGAAAAATTGGAAGTGGAGGGTGACATCCACGAAGGGTTGAAAGATTTTTACACTACCTTGATAATTGTACTGGGGAAGGAAATGATACTGCTGGGATGCGCACGGACCACGGATATAGAAAACATGATGGGATATTAGGAATGGCACGTGGGATTTGACGAACGCCGAACGGGACTCGCACGCGAAACAAACTAGGGCATAACCTGATTATGATATCATGTTAGAATGTCCGGTCCGAAAGCTTAGATTTGTTGGTAGAGGGAGATCACATGTATATAAAGAACACTTAGTCATAATAGACAAATGATGTGGGAATCTTAACAATACGCCAAACTAATTCTTGTTAAATGCGTCCTTTAAAAAACAAAGGATCTCAATGGCATATTTTGTTTTGCATAAAGTTATCCAGTACAATTGTAATTTGCTGCTTCGAATTTGCTTCTTCGATCGTTCCTGTAGAAGCCTAAGACCTTACCAAGAGGGAGACCAAGTTCGACCCCTACACCACAACGCCTGCCTTTGAGATTTCATTGACCGATCAATACCATTTTATTGGGAGCGTGCAGCAAAAATCCAATACCTTCACTAGGGGAGAGAGACCAAGGAAGAACGAGTCTAAGCCCGTTAACGTATCGAATTGAACCCTTCTTTCGTCAAAAGCTTAAGCTAATGAATCATGGGGATATATTTACTACTATGCACCAAACTAATTTTTCAACACAGGACTTTATTAGAACAACTTCAACATGCTCCTCCATATGTAAAAGATATTCAATTGGCATCACCACGAGGAACTTTCCATTCATTACAAACCAAAAGCCACGTCCAAGTTTGCTTAGATCTTTGACGAGGAAAGCTGCGGCAGTGGAGCGCATTCGTTGACCAGAAAAAAACAGAATATGCTCGGCTCAAAAAGTTCACAGAATAAATGGCAACATACGGTCGAGAAAGATATTTATTCATTAAGGTGATTTAATTGCTCGTGCAAAAAAAAAAAAAAAAGAACGTTACTTTGCACTTGGCAATTATTAGAATGTCTAATTCAAAAGCTTCAAATTTCTAGGTGAAAGGGGAATACATGTATATAAAGAGCATGTAAATCTCGTTGGCAAGTAATGTGAGATACTCTTGACACCCCTCCTATGGAGCCAAATCATGAACGGCGCGTGAAATTTCATGAGTGGAGTGCCGTGCAGGCGAAATAAACCGAGACAAAACATGGGTCCGACATCATGTCAGAATGTTCAAACCGAGAAAACCGAGACTCACAAGCTCCATTGACAAACGGGCCTAAATGTATATGAATCGCATGTAAATTTGGTCGGCAAGCGACGTGAGATCGAGGCTTTAACGAACGAACGGTTGTCAAACTTTTAAGCTTGTGGAGCTCGGGCGGTTCTAAGGTTGTTTTCATGAAGCAACGAGCAGCGTCAAGAAGAGGTCGTCCACGCACAAAGAGGGCATATTCGCTACTGCAAGAAAAGAATAATAAATGCTCGAGATATTTCATTGTTTATTTTATCTTTTGAACCAAATTTAATTTCGAAAAAAGAAACAAGCTGGAGATGCAAGAACAGCTACGAATTCGAAAAATCGTGGAAATAGTGTTTGGAAAATGGACAACTTGGTTCCAACTAACGTCTTTAAGGATTAACGTGGAAAGCTGGTAATTATTAAGGATTGAAGGGGTACAAAAATCTTAGAATATAAATATATCTTTTATTGAAAATCACTAATTTAAGTAGTATAATTAATAGGGTTAATACCACAAAAAACCCTAAATTGGTACACCTGTGACAAATTTATCATCAATTAGTTTCCGTAAAATTGTCACAAGTGTACCAGTTTTGGATTTTTTGTGGTAAAAAAATTAATTTGGGATAAATTTGTCACGGGTGTATCGGTTTATGATTTTTCGTGGTATTAACCATAATTATTTCTCATAGTTCTTTGGTGTAATTAACAATACAAGTCATGTCCACAATTTATATATATACATCATATATATAGAGAGAAATCTCAATTTGTTTATCATATATAAATTATCTTTACACTTTACTATTTATGATACCGGTTGATAATAAATTTGAATTAATGCAAGTATGGAAATAAATAAACCTTTTCGTGCATCTACACAATATGTAAAGTCAGCTTTTCGTGACATTTCTGAGTTAATTCACTCGAGGTATTATTCGCTTTAGCCCGTCCCATACTTAGGAGGTCATTCATCCTAGTAGTGCTCTAGCATGCGCTCGCTTAACTTTGGAGTTCGCTTGCCATTACGTCAGAAAGCATATCCGTGAGTTAATTTTAGTTTTCACACATATTATATATTATCTCATAGTCACTGTCTCCCTGTTCAGTGCATAGTTCGGCTCATTCCCGCCCCATTCGCCATCCTAGAAGCCTACCATGAGCCACCCCTTTTCCGGACCCTCTAGCTCTAGCGACTACTCCCCTCCCTCGTCGGACCGGGTCGTTACAGCTTTCAAGTTTGTCGTAAGCTTTTCATACAAGGAAGATGCCGTTATATCAATAAATATAGAAAAAGTAAAGAGAACATTACCTATCATTAATGATTAAAAATTCGATATCTCCCGGTAGTAATCTAACAAAGCTATCTCCCGGTAGTTGAAGCACATTATCTAATTTGAAATAATTTTTCTAGTTTAGTTTCCCTAATTTGACGTTTCCTTAGTTCCTATGTCTTAGTCCGTCTATAAATAGAAGGTGCAATCACAATTTCAAAAATCGGCATGTGAATTAATAATATACGATTCGACCAAAATAATAATAATAATAATAATAATAATAATAATAATAATAATAATAGTATACGAGAACCGTTTCTAGGCGAGCGATTCATTAGCATTCTTCACCTAAATTCTTCGGCGGTGGATTCAAAGCTCTCTCTATCCTTTGGCCGGTGGAACATTCTGTTCTGCCTCGGCGGTGAACTTATCTATCCCGAAGTCATTCCCCCCCCCTCCCCCTCGAAACACTTGGGACCGCTTTCAATCCATCCCCCATCGAACACCTTTCAGCAACTTCTCGGGGACTCACCGCGCATCGGATTCGCAATGTCGTCGACGAATGGTGCTACTACTAATGACATCTCCTATCCATGAACTTGTGATCAATGTTGAAAGCGAGATCACCCACGATTGCAAAAGATCTTAGCACAAGACGGATGGATAAAAACATGGGAAAAAATAACACGAATAATCTTTGGATTTTGGCCCAATGTGCAATGTAGTCCCTAAATTTTAAATTTGTTTAATGCAGTCCCCGAATTTTTGGTACATGTTCAATTTAGTCCTTGAACTGTAAGAAAATGTTAAACGTAGTTCTTTCATTAATTCAAGATCATGGACTATATTTGACATTTTCACATAGTTCAAGGACTATATAGAACATATACAAAAAATTCATGGATCATATTCAACATTAGACTAAAGTTCGAGGACCACGTTGAAAAAATTAAAAATTTAGGGAGCACAAACGACCATTTGTGTCGTTCTGCATAAAAACATCCGGAAAAAAATTACGTTTTTTCGGGAACCTGTAAAAAAAAAAATCCGAACACCTGGCAAAAAAAAAACCAAAATAAAAAAAAGCAATTTTAAAATTACCTGGCAGTGGTGTTTTTTTCAATCTTTATCCCGACAAGCGGTCCCCACGCGTAATGCTTTTTCCGGTAAATAAATAAAAAAAAAAAGCCCCCCCCCCACCCGGTACGGACAAGTACATCGGGCCCCACGCGCTCGCCCCCCACCCGCCCAACGTGTTAATTCCCGGTAACCCGAACCTGTCCACCGGCAGTATCCGGTAACCGCCCCCGCCCCCCCCCGCCCTTTAAATACCGCCCCTCCCCCTGAACTGCCTTCTTCAACCTCCCGAACCCCAGAAGCTTCTCCGCTTCCACCACCCCCACCTCCTCCATTTGCGCAGATCTCGCGCGAACCTTCTTCCGCTCTCGATCTCGATCTCGATCTCGCCGTACTTGCATGGCAGTGGGATTGCCGGCGCACGAGATATCCGACCTGTGCCTCGGGAAGCCCGCGCTGAGGTGCCTCCCCGCCGCCGCCACCGTCGGCGACGCCCTCGCCGCCCTCCGGAGGTACGGCGACGCCGCCGTCGGCCTGTGGGGCTGCGGCGACCTCCTCCTCCCGCCGCCGCCGGGCGGGGGGGCCGGCGGGGGGCGCGCGTGCGTGGGGAAGGTGTGCGCGGTGGACATCGTGTGCTTCCTGTGCCGGGAGGAGAACCTCGCCGATCCGGCCGCCGCGCTCCGGTCTAAGGTGGAGGCCGTCGTCCCGAAGGCCGGCGGCCTCGTCAGGCACCTGGAGCCGCACGCCAGGTTCGTGTGTTCGTAGATTTCGCGGTTCATTTGAGATTTTCATTTCGGCGCTTATTGCGATTAGGTTATGGAATTTGGGCGAGGATTTGATAGAATCCTGATGTGAATGTAGGATTCGATGCTTGTTTCTGACTTCCGATGTTACAGTTGAACCGTTTGTGGCTCTACTTTGATGAGAATTGATTTGGTTTTTGCGGATACCTGGATGGGATTGTATGTAGACTTTTCCTTAAACTGCGGTTCTCGATGATTCTAGTTCCAGTCATGTGTTCGTTCGTCCGATTTGTGTCTTGTCCTAATCTTAGGTAAGGAGTTCATCGAATGTTTGATATGAATTCGCATTTGGTTCTTCGTTGGAACGTTCAATGCTGAAATTCTGCCATTGTTTGCGACTGTTATGATGAGAATTTGGTCTAACTTGATGATACCTACGTTCATTTCGAAGGGAGCGTCTTTTCGCAGTAGCTATCTGTGTGTCGAATTCGCCTTGATTTTGTTCTTGTATCTGGACGTTGAATGCGTTTTTTGACGGCTCTGTCTCTTCTGATTCCAGCTTGTTGGACGCGATCGAGCTGATCCTCGAAGGCGCGCAGAACCTGGTGGTGCCGATGCGATCTCCCGGAGGAACGAAGTCGAGGAATAACCTCCTCCACAACCACCGTGAATACTGTTGGCTCACGCAGGAAGACATCATTCGATACCTCCTCAACTTCATCAATCTCTTTGCCCCCATACCGGCCCTCCCGATAAATTCTCTCGGCATCATCGACACCGATTCGATCCTTGCCGTTCACTATTACGACCCTGCTGCATCGGCCTTGCGTCTGATCCCCGAATCCAACCTCAAACAAACTGCAGTGGCGATCGTCGACGACGAAGACCAATTGATCGGCGAGATCTCGCCATTGACCCTCAGTTCCTGCGACTTGACCGTAGCTGCTGCTGTTTTGACGCTATCTGCCGGAGATCTCATGGCGTACATCGATTGTGGTGGTCCGCCGGACGATCTAGTTCGTCTGGTCAAGGAAAGATTGGAAGAGAAGAACTTGGTCACGTTCTTGGAGTCATTGGAAGAGGAACTGGCGTTTTCTTTGCCATCCGCGTCGTCCTCTTCCGATGAAGAGTTTGGGTGCGGGAAGGGCGGGAGAGTCGGAGGCTACTCCGCGAGGATGGTGAGGAGGTCAGAGGCCATCATGTGCTATCCGAGCTCTTCGCTCGTCGCGGTGATGATTCAGGCGCTCGCGCACAGAGTCAGCTACGTCTGGGTCGTGGAGGAAGACGGGAGCCTCGCCGGGATCGTCACCTTCAAGAGCATGTTGAGGGTCTTCCATGAGCGGCTAAAGTCCATGAGCTGAAACAGAGCAAAGGTGAAATCAAGATTGATGATGAACTGAAAAACTCTGATTAAAACAGACTCATAAACATGGCACAGATTGAATTTTGGCTGGAATTGCGCGAGTTTGAGGATGCGAACTTGAGTTAATCTTTAAATCTATATATGTTTTTTTCCAATGATGGGAACCCAACATTGATTTGCTGAAGTCAAGAATGAAATTTTCACTATAGAGATTGATAATGTTAAGAGCAAATCTAAGTGTAATTTGGAGCACGAAAAATACTGAATGTACCATATTAACGAGATATCTTAACGTGATTGTAAGTACGGCGTATGAAGTAACAAAATGGTAATCGAGATGAGAACCAAAGACTAGAAAATTCGCAAAATGGTAAGGTTTGACTCGTGCCTAGTATGATCAGAACGGACCATCAGTTTTATAAGATTAGACAATTCGCGAACGATTTGCTTCCTCGTTCGATGCGATAATTTTACTGGTGGAGAATGTATGTACTTTATGGACTTTACACAGGCTCGGGATCTTCCTCGGTCCATGGCGTGAAAGGACCCTCATTTAGTGGACTTCCATCATCAGCAAGCGATGGCTGACGGGCTGACGGCTCGGTTCGGTCCAGCTCGGCCCACCGGCATGCCTGCCTGCCCGCCGTCGGAAGACAGCGCGTGGAAGAACGTATGGTCGGTGTACCTAATCCAGACACAAAGAAGCAAGCCCCCCAAAAGCAAAATGATGCCAAGGTACTACACTTGCAAGAAACGGTCGCCATGTGTATAAGTTCTCTCGGAATGAATGGGGGGGCTACAACGTGCACATTCGACAGCACGAGGACTTAAGGACTGGGTACTCCTATGGACCAAATGGTGGGGGATAGCTTAGTACTTTGTGGTCTAAGATTCTATTTGTTTCGTAGAAAGTAGACAATTTAAAAAGGATTTTCCAAGAAATTATTGCTTGTATTGCCAATAAAAAAGCGAATGAACGAAATTTATGCATAAATTGCTGTCCACAATGAAAACATTTTAAATTGATTAATTATTTCAAGCGATACAAATAGCTATTTTTTAGGAAAAATGTTTTCCGAACTATTCATTTTTCGCAAAATGAATACAGCCCGTTGTCCTGCTCAGGAACCGCACCAAGTACTAATTTATCCAATGCTATGCTACTTTAGGTCTTTTGATCGAAACGCATTGTTCCGAACACGTCGTCGTCAGGCCCTCGTGCCAATAAGGTCAAGTCTTTCACCGCGTAACGCCTTCTTCTCGGATCAAATCTGTTCGGGATCACGAAGGACAAATTAAAAATTAGAAAGAGAAAAAAATTGAAAAAATAGATATGGAAAATAAGGGAGGTGTGTCATTCTTTTTTGGTAAATTTTTCAAGCCAAGACGTTTATCCACATGATGTGAATTAATTAATTTTAATCCGGATAAGGTCGGGAGCGTAGTGTAGTGTTGCGTTGCGTGTGTTCTTCGTAAATATTTCCTTTTTTTTAATTTTCCATTATTGTTTTTCTTTCCTGTCAGAGGGACTCAGAGTCAGAGATGATCAGATAGATATTATTTTAGATATATACATATATAAATATATAAAACTGGATAAATATTATTAAATTTAGCTCTGTCTGTCCGTACGCTGCATCACACGCTCCCCCCACCCCACACGACGGTCGCCGCCATCAATTCCTCCTTACGTGTCCTCTTCCTCTTCCTCCTCCTCTTCCTCTCGCCACACTCCTCCTCCTCCTCCTCCTCCTGCTGCAACTTTTTTTCTAGATATCTCCGCGATCGCCGACGGCGCGGCGAGTGGGGGACCTCGGGTTAGGGTTCTCGGCGGCGGTCTCCGACGTGGGTCGTCTCGTTTTTGTTCTCGTCCCGGTAGCGTCTGTATGGTGTTTGGTGGGTGAGGGTTGGGAGGTTTTGGTTTGGTTTGGTTTGGTTTGGTGGGTGCGGGAGGAGGGGAGGGAAGAAGGGAAGATGTATATGGGGTCGATGCGCAAGTCCTTCAAGGACTCTCTCAAGGTGCTGGAAGCCGACATCCAGCACGCCAACACGCTGTGAGCTTCGCATTTTTGGGCTTTCGATCGTCCGCTGCTGCTTCTTCCTCTTCTTAAATCTTGAATCTTTTCCGGTTTCGATCGCAGTTTGTTTGTTGAGTTAGCAACTGGGTAGGTGAGTTCAGCTCGCTGTTGCGCCTGGGCTGTGATTCGTTTGCTGCTGATTTGCCCGGTCCTGTTTGAATTTCGGTTCTTGCCCCTTTTGCTGTTGGAGTTTGTCGTGCCTCGTTTTCATTTTCTGGAGGAAGTTAGCATTAGTTTTCGATTATTGGACAGTGCACTTGGGTTTTGCTAATGTTACGGTGCCTGTCTTTGCAATGCGAAGTTAAGGGTTTTCGCTTACCTGGTCTTACCGAACTGTTGATCCGCAGTGGTTGGGGAAAGGTAAAGCTGGTTGGAAAGTGGAAATGAGCTTCCTTCGGTTCATGTTTATCTTTTCTTATGGCTTTCAGATTTGTGATCGATTCCCATTTTTTAGTTCTCTATGGAATTCTTACTCGATTGCCCGCTTGAGCTGTTAACTTCACCAGTTCGGAGTGTGTGCCGACTCTGCGTGCATGTCTGGAATCTCTTCTTGGGGAGATCTTAACTATGCAAATGTTGTGCAGGGCTTCAGATTTTCCGAGGGAGTATGATGGTGCCTGTCTCCAAATGAGATTGTCGTATAGTTCAGCTGCACACCTCTTTCTCTTTCTTGTGCAATGGACAGATTGCCACCTTGCTGGTGCCCTTGGGTTCTTGAGGATTCTTATTTACAAGGCATGAAAAGATTTTTTTCTTTTCTTTTTGATTCATTGGCAGCATGTCAGATTAAAAGTTTCAGGAACATGAATATCTGACCCAAATATTTTGCTCTCTGGTAGGTTCATGTCGATGGCACGACAACAATGTCTATTCACGAGAGAAAAGCAAGTGTCAGAGAGTTCTATGGTGAAATTTAGCGTTTCCAAGCGATTGATCTAGCTTTATGGTTGTGTGGTTACTCCATAGTGCATCTGTCCCCTGATTCAACGTTGCCATTGTTTACCAGCTGTAATTTATCCCTCTTTGGTACAACTTCAGAGAGGCATTACAGATGCTGAAGAGAAAATGCAGAGGGCAGTTTGCCTGGAGAGATACCGCAAGAGAGAGGAAAAGGAACATATACGGCGCTCAGATGTAGATGCTGAAAGGGAAGACGAATGTGGAATATGCATGGAGCTGAATAGAAAAATAGTACTGCCTAACTGCAACCATGCTATGTGCTTGAAATGCTACCATGATTGGTAATCCTTTTGGACCTGCAATTGTAGGACACATGGCTTTTTTCGTTACTCTTTTTTAACTAAGGCAAATATCAGTTGGGCTGTTGGTCTTGAGCTGTCCTTCCCTCCCCCTGCCCCCCTCCCTCTTCTCTTTCCATTTCTCTACCCTCTCTCTTCAATTTTCGATGATTTATCAGCAAATTCCACAATGTTTAATTAGTTAAATGCCAATGTCTTTTTGCTTATTTGGGTGGTGGGTTGTGGGGGAGGGGTTTGGAGAAGTGAATTTGCACTTCTAAGCATCTTGCCTCCTCTCTTGAAACAATAAAATAATTGAAATGGTAGCTCTTTCTTTTCTCTTTTTCTTTTGATATGGGGGGATAAAATCCTGAAAGAGAGTTCACAATTCACATCTGCTGTCAGGATGGCATTTTGAATTGTTGAAATTGTTCTGTGGGTTACCATCTCATGAATTTCTTGATGAGGAAAAGTAGTCTGACAGATATGCTATGTTTCATTACTAGCAATTTTTTTAGGAATGACTCTCATAGTAGATTTTAGAAGCGACCGTGGCTATGACTTCTGATAGAAGAGCGGCATTCCCTGATGAATAATTAAGAATAGGAAAAAAACAAAGATTCACCAGTTTTCATAATAGACGCTCTTTAGGTGGGTGTCTTGGGGGAGTTGGAGAGAGGGAAAAGGAGAGGAGGAGGTGGGAGGGGGATGGATGATGTTGTATATATAACAAACACTTTTTTAAACCCTAAACCGCTCTGTTGGGATGGGTTAAAACAATGGGAGTGGTCTTTGTCTAAAGTTTCTGTTGCTTGGACTGAAAAAAGCAGCTCTTGAAGAAGGATTTCAAGATTGAAATTGTGGAATGATGCTTCGACAATACCCTTGTCTGCTCTGAAAACTCCAATGGTTATACTTGTGTGCTCTTTTTTTTTTATAATCTTCTTAAGATATTGTACTCTTGCTTTGAGAGTGTCTTTTAAACCCTATGATTCTTCTGGAGATAATATGACATAAGTATTTTCCTTTTGCCAAACCCAGAAGAAAAGGTGCTTTCATAAGTATTATTGCTGCTTTAAGGAATTTTAATCTATCGCTATTGCCTCAATAGTCACAAGGATGCCTCTTTTCCATTATGGTGAAATGTATGGGAGCAATTTGCAATTGCTAAGAGGCAGACCAAGTGTACAAATCCAACTAGGTATGAATATTAATGAAACCTAGTAGGCAGTCCCAACAGTCAAGTATTTTCCTACTCCACGGAAAGCAATTCTTGTAATATGAGTCTTTTGGTTTACTGCAAACGGCATATCTGTCCTATTATAAAACAGTTTGTGCTCTGATATAATAGAAGGTTTTGTCTATAAGGTTTGTCTAACATGGTACTGGAATTTGTCCCCATAATTATTGGAGGTTTGGTCTCCCATAATCAGCTGTTCTAGTAATCTTTGTGTTGGAGGTTTTTCACATGGTATCGTAACATATTTTTCTTTATATCAGTATTACTTATGCTGGTTATGACTAATGAGTATCAGATTTCAGTTTCTTTTAATATAGGATAGTATGTGTTGCCATTCTTGCAGACTTACCTGTCTTGACCATTCTATTTCTAGCTTGATATTGGTTTCTTTTGGGAGGACAGTGATATTTTGATCAAATAGTTCTTGACCTAGGTTTGGGTGCAATTTAGTTGCACATTCTATTCTTGGGTTTTGATCAGTCAGACTGGCTGGTGTATGTTCTGTTCTCTGTTCTCTGAAGAACGCTTTGGCAAGCTGCTGTATAGATACTGACTTGGGATATGCTTTCTGTCATATGAAATTCAAAATACGGAGAATTGCTATTGCATGCTTTTCTAGCAATTTTTCTTATGCAAACCGATCCAATTAGAGGTTATTGCTTGATGCTTAAGTCTTTCTACTCAAGCTCTCACCTGATTAAGTGAATGGGCTATGCTTCTTTGAAGCAACAACTTGTCAGAAAGAAATAATTAGTCGCATCTATATATTATGAGCTACTTGCTCTCCATGCAGGAGCAAGAGTTTTCCATCCTTAAAACGTTTATGCATTTTGCAGGAGAATGAGATCACAATCATGCCCTTTCTGTCGCGACAGTTTGAAGAGAGTGGACTCTGGTGACCTCTGGGTACTTACTGACACCAGGGACATAGTAGACATGCAGACAGTAACCCGGGAGAATCTTAGGAGGCTCTTCATATACATAGATAAGTTGTCGCTGATAATTCCCGATACCCTTTTTGACACCTATGATTCTCACCTCAGGTGAATGGCACAACTCGAGCTACTTCTTTGCACAGTTTTCTTTTAATTTCTCCCCTTAATAACCAATTCGGGGTTAGTTTTCTTTTTTCTTTCTAATGAGGCCAGCCTAAGCCAGCCTAAGTTATTGTGGGCTGGATGGCCTTAAGTTCATTGCAATTCTATGTATAAACTCCTTGCAAGATGAACTTAACACTTGTGTATATATGTTTGTATATATTGAAGTTCCTCGAAAGGTACATGCCTTTCCATTTTAAAGCTGTGCTATTCTGTGCTCTCATAATGATTTTTGAGCAGGATGATGTGTACGCTATAACACAGTGCACTAACACACCGGATGAGGAGGTTTGAAATTTGGGGTCTTTCGGCCTCTCTGCAGCTCTTACCTTTTGAATTTTATGCAGGATTGTTGCCGGTGATCCTGAACTCGAATCAAGTGGTAATTTTATACTCTTTACAGATAAGCTTGCGATAATGCGTTCCCAACTTGCTTCTGCTGATTGCCTGATTTTCGATCGTACGTTTGAGCTTCGACAGTGGCGGGCGATGTAGTTGCATTCCTTGTGCAAAAATGGAGATGCCTTGCGACGTGCGGGGCTCGTCATTAATCACTTGCACAGAATATCTATTATGGTCCTATTCACATTCATCATGAGAATATAATGGAATTAAATGACCCGACATATAGTCTCATCTTCCCTGATTCTGTGGCAGAAGGTATCGTTCTTTGGATTACTCAAATAAGGCTATATAGATGGCGGAGAATTCGCGAAAATCTCAAGTTCAGTCCACAAGCTCTTAGGCATTCTCTTCATCTGTTGGGGGCTCGTGCTATTATTAGCGATCATGGCAACTTCAATGGTAGTAGCCCGGCAGGAAACTACTTGTCAAGCTCCATCTATCACTTTAAAGTTATGTGGGGGTGATCAACAGTAGTGAATAGAAGGATTGTATTCTGCAATATTTTACAAAACATCAAACATACGTGACACGACACAGCATACATTTAACCCACAAAAATGTCTCATGCTTCTAGCAGAAAGGACAGCACACACAGCACATATTGCATATGAATAAAGAGAGGGAGCTTGAAATGTGTCCATCATTCATCTGTTCAAAGCTTTTAGAGCTATTTAACGGGGGCAAATGTCGGCGGCACAACAGCGTACGGAGGCAGCGGAGGTAGATGACCCAGAAGTGGAAGCTTCGTTGGAGGGTACTCGTCGTCATCGTCGTAGTCAGGTCCCTGGCGTGACCTGGCTGTTCTAAGCACCACGGTCAACAGGATCGACAATCCCTGAAGAGTCGCAAGAAGCAATAAATAAACGTTGAGAGCTTACAGAAAGATTGATTCACGTTGGAGAAAGAAAAAAGATTGACATCACTCCATTTTATTAGCACAATTAGTGGGTGTCGTTGCAAATTCTCATAATCATATATTTATAACTAAGGTATGATTTATATCTAAGTATGCACTAAAATGTAATAACCCGAGTAATCTAGCCAATCAAATCAAAATGTGTTCTTCTCATTGACGATCGACATATATTTCTTGGACAAATGTTCGAAATCGGCCAGAATTTCAACACATCTCTTCGAAATAAATCGAGAAACGGATACAAATTGATGGAGCATGAAATACCTGTGCTAGGATTATTAGCAATCCTATCCACTTGAAGACATCGAAGTTTGACTTCACAAAATCCTCAAAGTCGGAAAATCTTCCGGTTGGATCTTCAGGTAAGTCCTTTTAGAGCATCAACCACGGTGTAAAATAAGCAAACATTTCATGGATTATGCACCGAAAGTGATAATAAGTCAAAGACAACTTCATGTAATGCTGATTTCTGGAATTGCCCTAACCATGAACATTACCTTTTCCCAGTCAGAATTCAGGAGTACATCTGCAGTCACCATGATTTCAATCAGGATGAGCAAACACATGATGAACATGTACTTGATTCTGATTAAGGGTCATCAATTGATACAATAGAATTTAATCAAGCACAAAATGAGCATAACTATTCATAATTGACTGAAAATTGTTGCTGAATTTGCATCTTCCAGGCACATTTCTACATCTAAAACAACCAAGAAGCTTATCAAAACTCTTTCTCTAATCCATTCTCATAAGCAGTTCTTCAGGAATACTTCCATAGTGGATTAACTTCATCTACACTCTGCAGTAGGAGCTTGTTAATAGGGAAGCTTTTTATCCTTGCATAGTGTCTAAGCCAATTGAGAAAGAGAGAAGTAGAAAGAAAAAGGATACACAAGAAAGGCAACAGCCATTTGCACTGTCAGCTGCAGCACGTCCAATCCATGTGATAAGGCACAAGATCACTCCCATCCCCAGAAAAGCATAAATGAACCTGCATTTGAGTCCCAACTTTGCTGAGAAATTGTAGGATCTCCCTTTGAAAAATTAGCACTGAGAATAACTATAGGTTGGAGCAAGGAAAAACTGTTAATATGCACCCGGTTTCATGCACCGAGTGTATGCACTGTACTATATTCGATTTAGCTCAACTCCACTTGAAACCCATATGATCAGCAAGTTGATATTTGCCGAATGCACATGCATTTTATGAATTCGATGATATTGATTTTCACTTCATGCCTTCAACTTAGTCCATAAAGTTCCGATTTTTTTTTGGGGAAAAGAGTCGTAAGTGTACGTAACATTAGTTTGGAGAAGAGCAAGCTTACCAAGGAGCAGTAGAGTAAAAGGAAGAGCCTTCATCCATGTCTCTCTGCCAAACTCTGACCATCCAAAAGCCATATAAGATCATGGCCACCCCAACCATCCCCACCACATAGTTCACCCATTTCATCAGTGATTGCAGGCAACTCCTCATTATTCTTGCCATCTCAATGCCCTTGATTGCCTCTCTCTATTTTCTCTTCAAAAGATAATAAAAAAAGAATTCTTGATAATACTTGGTAAAATATGGGCCGATTGGTATAAATCCTACAGAGCCTCACGCTTCTAGATATATGTTTCAAGATCTTGGACTAAAATTTGTGGGAGAAACCAAGTGAGTACTAATTCTCTCAAGCCCTTAACGTGGAAGACAAGCTCGATCCGACACATGGGAATGGGGAAGCAAATGAACTTGCTTTGTGTGTGGGTGTCCAAATCATAGTTCAGTTTGGAACATGACAAATGAGGAAACTTCATAGGCTCAGACAATGAGTTCTCTCTTCTACGCTGTCATCCGTCCTTGTTGCTTCTCAGTTTATGGCCAACCGAAATTATGATTTTTTCACTAGCAAATGAGCAAACATGTCAGTGAGAAACTTCCAAGACATTACCCATTTTGTTGGACTGTTGTGCTCATAGTGAAGTGTCGGATCTTCCATAATAGGTTGTAATGCTAATCCAGGTGTTGTGGTTGGAACCGAGTTGCTGTGGTGTAGTGGTTATCACGTTAGTCTTACACACTAAAGGTCCCCAGTTCGATCCTGGGCAGCAACATTTTCTTCTTTTCAATACAATTTATGACTATCATCACTATAAGTTTGTTCCATTCCATTCCGGTATCGGCGGGCAATCTCCTTTTCCGGTCGTATTGGTGAACTTGAGAATGTCGAGTTCAGATTAAGGACATTTTTCTCAACAATACGCAATCATAATCCAATGAAACATGAGTCTCGATGCTCCAATTGCGGAACGTTCTTCTTTGCAATGCTTCATGGTGATTATTCATCTGATGAGATTGTGAAGTATGTGGTTAACACTTTGCTACAAAAGTAAAAAATCTCCAGCACATTCCGTTTGATGAATAACATGTCACGATCAACAATGCCGAACTGGATTGCCAATTTGGATCCAAGTTACATATTGCATCTAACTCAGAAAAGTTCTATAAATTTCTCCCTAAGGTCAGAAGAAAGAAGTGCAAAAAAGGCCTAAAACTGGTACGGCGGATGAGCGACCCGATATATTGGGTTCAGTCAGCCAAAATTGGTCGTTGGAGTTAGCTGATCAGGAAAGCAGCATACGATGTGAGTTCCACTGTAACCTCCTGTGGATATCTGTTGTTACTAAAATCAAAAAGTTCAGCTCTTAGATGCTATGCCTCTCAGGCGGAGGTGCAAGGAACGTCTTCGGAGGGCACACTAGGTTTTGGAGATGGTTCAGTTGCCTTGTGAACAGCAGGAGGAGAAGGAGGAGGAGGCTTCGGTGGTCTGTTTGGATGAACTTGCTCGACTTTCTCCGGAGGAATTTCAAACTGCAATAAGTATTTGAATATTGTTGTGTCAAACAAAAAAAAATGCAGAGCAGTAACAGGAAGTTATGAACACCAAATAGGGAAAAGCTTCATCAGCTTGTGCATTATGTTTAATTCGCCGTACTGACCCCAGATCAAGAGGGGCATAAAAAGGCAAAGAAATACAGAGGATAAGTCATCTCTAAGACAACAGTCGCAACACTCTGTTTTCAAGCTTATGCCAGACATACAGCACTATCTCTATATCTAAAACAAAATGCCAATCATGTGAAAAGGGTCATTGAAATTTCAATAAATCCATATCTTCTTAAGTATATATATGGAGAAAGAACAATGAGTAAATGATCGATGTGGAGCTAAGGAGATAATTTCATTAAATATGTAGCTTTTCTCTGAAAACACCTATGTGAACTCGACAAAAAGATTGACATAATAGCTACCCAGAGCAGAGCTGCAGTAGAGGAGATAAAACTTAAAGGAGCCATGTTGACCAGTACTTCTAAATCTGCAACCATACAAGAATGCTGGAAGATAACTTCCACACTTGAATTAAATTATATGTAGGTACTTTTAAAATAGTCCATTGTTGTATAAGCCTTAGCATGTGCGTGTATGCCACGCAGTAATTGATGCAGCTCAATAGCCAACAAAATGCAAGCTTGAAAAGGCAACAAATGGCTTCTGTATAAGTGCATCCATAATATCCATTAACACAATATTATCATGATGGTTCAGCTTTATAAATTACCCTAGATGCAATGAAATGAAGAACTTGTTTAATGCACACATTAACTGACCTTGTAGCCGCAGCCAGATACACAAGCATGGAAACATTCCTGTAGAAGAAAAGGAAGTAGAGGGAGGTCACGTAAAATATTACTTTGTACACATATATCAACCCTATCTACAAGCCCTATTCATGATGACTACCAAGCACTGCCAATTCTGGGAAGATAATCTCCTGCCATGTCACTCCACAAACAGCCCATATAATTAGTAGCGCTTAAGTCAAATTCAAGAGGCAGTTTCTTTCAGTAAATTTAGAGTTTTCATTTATTCTTCAATCAACTATTGTCAGACTTCAATTTCTCCAGAAGGACTAAAATAAGTACTTCATAGTTCCTAACGTGCCTTGCTTCAATCACTTAAAGATGCAAATACCAAATTGGAACCAATGTATAAGGACATGCGCATGACCAGATTCTACAAGCATTAAGAACCTGCACAACCCATCAACAGTTTTTATGAGCAATCCTGCATGCCCAGAGATGTGGACACTGGGGTCGTGGGTAGCGACTGCACCCCAAAGTGCCTCCCTAGTCAGAAAATGGCCATGAATGCCAGTTATACTTTGTCTCCTTTAATGGCCACTCTAAGTCTTATATAAAGGAAGTACTATTGTGCTTTTGTTCCCCTTTTGGTTTGGTAAGATATCAAAGTCACTACTGAAATTCTTTTAGTAATTGATAGGTTAAAGGGCCACTAATTGATGTGTCAAAACCACGAAGAGACCAACCGATACGATTAAACTACTAATGAGACATCTTTCGGCCAAAAAAAAACTACTAATGAGATACTTGATTTACACTAATAAAAATTACCTAAATTAAAGTCCATATATTACTTAGGTGCATAACCTTTTGACACCAATTTGACAATATATGAGTCACAATCAAAGAATGGCCAGCATCAGTAACGTATCAAACCTTGCAAGTAAGGATATTTAACATTGAGATTCAATTATTGTTGTTTTAATTTTCGTTTATTATTCTCTCTCTTTTTAGTCTTGTAGATTTCTGATTTAATATAATTCTCTTCTTAACAAAATCCTTCATTATTTAACAAGACCTTGAAAAGTAGACAAAAGTTCTTGGGAATTCACATTGGTATCAATTTTCTATAAGAGCAGTTTATTATGTTGGAATTCGTTATATATGAATAGGTAGTTTGATGAGCATTCTAATTCATCTTGTGTTTCAGATCAATACGATACTAATTTTCATACAAATTTATAAAAAATTTCTACGCAATCGCCATTAGGTAGGTAAGATATGTGCTTGAGATTTAGTTACGTAACCACATTTTCACACAAGTCACCCATCTAACAATAATACCTTAATTTGTTTGTAATTGACAAGGACCACCAAAAGACACGATATGTAAACCTTTCAGGTGAATATGAATCAAGTATCTTTCCCAAATTGGGGTCATGGTTGCCCATACCCATATACATAGAGTTTTATCATTGTGCAAACTTATTCAGTACTCCCCAGTAAACTTTTAGTGTGATGTAGGAACTTATGGTGCAATACAGAACGATCTTTTGGTAGAATTCACAACAATAATATGGAAAGCTGAATGTCGGTTACAATGCTACAGGATAACACTGTAGCTTAAATGTTGCAACTAATCACCATTTTTATGGTGAGATATAATTCGTTTATCTCCAGATAGGAATGCATACGCCACAAACCACCAGGTTTAGCTTTAACATGGTTTAATAACAGAAGGCTGATTCAAAAAACAGAACATTTGGCACGAACCACTGCCAACTAGGTAACACAGCCCATACAACAAAAAGAGGGGAGGAGAGAGAGAGATAAAAAAATAAGGACCAGACAAAAGTAAAGTTTACAATTTTCATGGAAAGTTACAAGGAGATTAAAACCTCTGAGTAAGTTGCAGCACCAGGAGAGCGATCAATGTAAGCACTCCACTGGCGGTCCTTCAGCACAGGGTCCTTGTAACACATCTCATTGCACTCTTCCAGACCTAAAAATCCAATGACCCAGTCAATGAAAGTAGGAAATCAACAAAGGATGAATTTGCTTGGTGCACATCTAGGCAGGTGACCTGTCCCAAGGCTTCAGCTAAAGTTATGTGTAAGATAGAGAGAGCAGTAGGAACGAAGACTCAAAGCTAGGTTTCAACCAGGCAAGGAATCTGTACATCGATAACCCTAGATTTAGGTCAGATATTTTCGAGACTTAAGCTTTCAAAGACAAGAGGAGCGTTAGACAATAGCATCTTCTCCAGCCCTCAAGCTTCATGATCTTAAGGCAGTCATTGAGAATTTTACAAAGCCAGGATGAGGAAAGATGTCTTCACCTCAATGAAATCATTCCACTACTAGTTCTTTTGTTGTCAAATCAGCAAAAACATATGTGTTAAGTGTATCGTGGCAGGGTCCAAGCAAAATTAAAGCCAAGCATCAGTTCTTGATTAAACTCCATCCCCTCCCCCAACCACACCTCCATAAATAAAATAAAATAAAATAAAATAAAAAAGATAGGCTGCTTCGTGACAAGAGATGCTCCATTTGATTAGCACTTCCCCAAATTCATTGCTTAATCTCTTCCTCCTGGTGCACACTGAGGCAAAGGAGAGCCTGAAGCTAAGTAAGGCATAGTTCTCAACTCTTGACTACTCTAGTAAGCCACTCATGTTCTGTAATAGTATGAAGGTAATGTCCAGAAATAAAGGTAAAAGATAGTCAAACATAAAAGGGAACTCACATTCTTCCCATGTCTCTCCGTCAGCATCACAAGCCTTCTTGCAAAAAACTCTCCCTGCATAATCCTTTTGTTGTCATCAACATAATCCACTTAGTAGGACAGAGCAGAGATGACGTTTAACATGTAAAAGTCAATCACTAGAAAAGGAGGGGAAAAAAAGCGACAACCAATTCAAGCAAATGTTTTTGCATTTCACACACGCACTCAATTGAAACCAACCAGTAAAATCTGACAGGTAAGATCTAAAAAGTTCCTGCATATTAAGAATCTGTAGATTTCCATCCAAGAAGTTTCCATTAAGTAACCATGAAGCAAAACGCAGTGGAAAAGAACCAACAAAAAAACTCACAGGGCACCGTGTACTCCAGAAATCTAATAACAACGGGATAGTATTCTGCTCATTGCTGAAAGAGAAAACCCCACACTACAAGGCAAATGCAGCACATAATCTAACAGGTATCTCGATTGTCAATCTAAAATATGAACTCAACCATTATCTCCAACATAAATTTCTATAAAAACAGGGCAACATCTCATGTGGAGCAATAGCATAACAATTACATATATAACACAATATTGAATATCATCACCTAGACATAGTAAGTAATCAACAGTCGAGAAGCGTCTATAAACAAAGACAACTATTGAGAGCAGACAGAAATAGAGAGAGACACGCGGATGGACACTTCTGATTAGGTGAGGACGGAGTAGGGTATGTTGTGGTGGGCAATGACACAACAATATACAAAACCACCAGTATATAAATAACCAAATTAACATTCGTTGCGATCCCCATCCTCACTACATGGCGAGGAACGCTAACCAAAAAGGTGGGAAGTCCGGTTTGGTAAAATTAACCATAACCGGCGAAGTACGTCCGTGAGCAATGCAACAGCAAATACATTTCCTTTTACACAACACCATCAAATTCTGCCCATTGGGTACCATCAAACAAGAAGTCCCTACAGAGAAAATCACAGACCAACTCAGGACAGAACAAAGGGGCCTTCAAACTCCATCCAGCCATGATCGACCCAAGCACCACACTTCTTCTTCTTCACAATCTCTTCCAATTTCGTCTCCTGCTTCTTATTTCCCAATGCAATTTACAATCCCAGATCAATAAGCTGTCTATAAACACAGAACTGAAAATGTGATCTCGCTACTCAACCAAACGCCTGCATTTCTTATCCTCTATCGAGAGCGACGGCACTAATTCTCCTCCATTTCACGCAAACAGAAAAACCCAAGTAGCCCCACGCAAAGAGCTCCTGAAACAACGCTGTTTTTAAGCTTAAAACGTGCACCATCGAGCTATGACATCCCGTCAAAAACACGAAACCCGCCATGCGACTAACGAAGAGGAAGCTCGATAGATAGACGAGGATCAAAAGGCCAGAGAGAGATCGAGAGAGGAACGAAGAGTCGGAAGATACATGGAATCTGAGTGAGGGCCGAGTACTTGCTCGTGCATTGGCTCCCGCACGGAGACGCCCATTGCTGTGGTATCATCTCTCTCTCTCTCTCTCTCTCTCTATAGAAGAATCCCCTCGCCGAATAGCTCTTCAAGCTTCGAAAGACGGGAAGAAAACCAGGTCCGCCGTCGTTGCCGTCATGGCCACACACCCACGAGCACTTGCAGAACAGCCGAAGGGTAGAGAGAGAGACAGAGACAGAGAGTGGCTTGTTGAAGAAGACGACGGTGTTAAACGAACCAAGAACCAGACCCGTTCCTTCCCGGACCGGCCTTGAACCGGGCCTGATCTGGACCGCCCGGCCCAAAAAACCCCCAACGTATGGTTTGGTTCGGACTAGGGGTGAGCATAGTCTGGGTGGGCGTTCCCACTCCGGAACCGTGGACCACCCGCTAAGGACCGGTTCCAAAAAATTGAAATCGAGAATCGCCCGTCGGTTCCATGGACCCACCCGAGAACCGGACCGCCGGTCCGGTCCGGTTCCGGGTGGGTCCATGGAACTAGTCTCACTAAGTTTTCCTAGACAAATCAAAAAATGGTCCGGGTTGGCGGTTCCACATCGAGAACCGGGAATCGGACAGGTACCCACCGGTTCCAAAAAATTGGAATCGGGAACCGGACCGGTTTCCTTGGGAATCACCGGTTCCGGGCGGTCCTGGGCTGTCAGGGCGGGTCCCGGTTCTTTTGCACACCTCTAGTTCCGACGGAACTAAAAGTGTTATCTTGTTTTCTAATCTTCCAATTACGTTTCTGGTTTTGAAACTTCAATTAAAGTGTGATTAGCCTAATGCAATTTTCTAATCTCCAAATAAATGAATTTCGTGTGCATCAATTTCAAAACGGCGTGAGCTGTGAATCGGGGGGAAAGAAAGTTATGGGAAGAATAACACAAATGATCCTTAAAATTTAGTTCGATGTGTAAAGTCACCCTCGAAATATTAATTTGTGCAGTGCAATACACAAATTATTGATAAATGTTCAATTATCATATTGAACAAATTAAAAGTTTGGGGATAACATTGTATATCCGGCCAAAGTTTAGGGATCATATTGCAAAAATTAAAAGTCCTGAAATGATATTGTAAATTGTGTCAAAGTTTAGGGATTATTGTGTTATTATCCAATGTTATGGGGCTCACAAGTAGAATATGAAAAAGCTCATTCAGATCTTAATGCCACGAACATTTTATGCCATTCTCAGCCTCCAAAAGGCACGTTTCGACATGTTTCGATAATACTTAGCTTTTCTCGCTCATTTGTTGTTCAATCGTGTGTCTTTAACTTGCTCATGGCTTTTCTCGGAGTGTCTAAAAAGTAAAATTTTGCTTATATTTTCAAATTGTTAAACAATTTTTTGTAATTTTTCTAAAAATTTTATGAGCCCGAAATTATATCTCGTTACATCCTCCAACTGCTTCTAAGTTCCACTAGCCACTGTCCAAGCCCAAGCCGTTGTTGTCAATCCTCGTTATGCTTGTGTGATTGATGAAGACTCGGGCCGCTTCTGAGAAAGAAGAACGAAGAATGAAGAAGATGGAAAGAGAAAAAAGAAAGAAAAGAAAGAAAAAAGCCCTCGACCATGGCATGTGAGATGCACATGCCTTATTTGAGATAAAATTGGCTACTTTAAATCATTATTTGAAACAAGATTCATTTTTTATCATCTTTTGAAAAAATGGCTTATTTCGAATGCCTTTATTCGAGATTTTCCCCAATAAATTTTAAATTAAGTAAATTATAAAGAAACCATGTGTTTTGTTCGCTGGGCGAGCGATAATGATCACACTTTATATCCACGTCATGTATGGTTAGCACTCCTACCATTTCTTTTTTATGGGATAGTTTTTAAAAATCTTAAACCTATTATACGGTATCCAATTTAGTTTTAAACCTTTTAATTCTGCCAATCTTTTGACGATTTGCTAATTTAGTGCTAAGCCTTCTTTGTGTCAATTTAGTCCTGAACGTTTTAAAGAATTGTCAAATTAGTCATAAACCTATTATTTGAATATTTGGTCGGAAGAATTACATTGTCAAATCGTAAAAGAGTTCAGGACTACATCGACAAATCATCAAAAAGTTTATGGCTAAATTGACAAATCGTCAAAAGGTTGAGGACTAAATTGGCACAATCGAAAGGTTTAAAATTGAATTGGCTGTCATACAATAGGTCATCTCTTTTATTACTGAAATTGGAGCTAAACCGGGCTGACCTCAGTCCGGTCCAGGTAATCCACACGGGCCGGTCCGGTTTACAAACGCCACGTGGCGAACCGCGCCTCGTCCCAACGGATAAACGTGCACACGACGACTCCGCTCGACCCCTTCAATGGAACTCACCACCGCCTGCTTCCTCTGCTCCGTCAGAAGGCCGCCGAACCTCCTCTTCCCGCCGTGCTCCTCCCCGAGGCGACCCGCCGCTCCTCTCGGCGCCGCCGCCGCTTCCTCCTCCGCTCCGCACCCTCACCGCCACCCTCTCGCTCAGGCCCTCCAATCCGAGGCGCTGAAGACCCTGGAATGGAGCGCCGTCTGCAGGCAGCTCGCCTCCTTCGTCTCGACCCCCATGGGGCTCGGCGCCTCGCGGGACGCCGACGTCCCGATCGGAAGGACCCCGGCGGAGAGCCGGAAGCTCCTGGACCAGACAGCGGCGGCGGCCCTGGCGGCGGAGTCTCGCCGGTGGGACTTGTCCGGGATTGAGGACGTGTCGGCGGTCGTGGAGTCGGCGGGAAAGGGGGAGTTGCTCACGATCCGGGAGATGTGCGCGGTGCGGAGGATGCTGAGCGCCGCGAGGAAGGTGGTGGAGGAGCTTGAGGCCACGGCGGCTGCTGGCGGCCGAGATTCTTTTGGGAGGTGATTAGCTTCTTATAGATTGCATAGCTGTTCCGGCAATACAAAGATAACAATATAATTAGAATAGTATTGTTATAGTCTTAGTGTACTTTGGGAACACAATCTCGAGCCTAACTTATGCTTAATTGTGAATAAATCTGAGTCTGGTTGAGCTCGAGCTTGTTGAGCACTTTACTTGGTCAATATCGAGCTTGGAAAATTGGGCTATAGATAAATATCAAGCTGCGGCCTTGAGCTTTCGAGTCTAGTTGAGTTCAGGTGTTATGCTATGTTGACTGGACTTGGCTTGATTGCGGCCTAGAATTCATAGATAATTACACTCCTTTTCAGTGAGATTATGCATTTGTGATGTGGTTTTATATGTATGAGGGAGCATAGAGTTTGATGATGCTTTAATTGTGGATAAAAGGATTTGATTGCAAAAAGGTATTTCTTGTGCTGTGTGGATTTGGGAATGATTAGTCGGGCAACGTGAGGAGTTTGATACATTCAACGATAATCGGTTCCCATTGATGCTTAAGAAATGCTATTAAGGAAAATGCCAATTGCGAGTAGACTCTGAAATTGCATTGTGACTGCAAGAACAGCTACTGTGGATAACACAAATTTGTCCATAATGAAAATAACATGAATATATAGTGCCCATAGCGCACTTATCAATGCTGATTATGCTTTGGAAGTGTAAATGGTTCTGCTTGAATTAAGTAGCTTTCTCGAAATGTAAATGTACAATATGACTGCGAGAACAACTACTAAGGATAATGCAAATTTGACTATAATGAAAACAACGTGAATAGCCCTTAGCACACTTATTAATGCCACTTAATATGGTTCTATTTGAATTAAGTAGCTTTCTCAGAATCTTTTCATTTTGAATTTTCAGAAGGGGTTCCATATGCATTCTTACCATTAGTGCACTTAGCCGACTAATTAACAAGACACTTTTTATAAGGGAAGTAGCACACTGGGTTGGACATAATTTGATTCTCGTTGGCAAGTTGGCCTTTAAAGAAATTAGTGATTACATTTGTTAAAACTAGAATTATCTCTAATGATGCCACAAACTAACAAGGACAATAACCAGATGATATGATATGCCACACATGGGTGTTTCGGGAACTGGGGGTTTTTGTTGAGATTTGTCGTTGTGTGTGTGGTGGGGGTGGGGGTGGGGGTAGAGCATGTGTCCCTTTTGTCCTCCTTCCCTCTGTCACTGCTATTCTCGTCATGATCTGTTAGAAGGTACATAAAATATGTTTGGAACTTTTGTCCTCAGCAAATTTTTCTTGATTTCTTTTGCTTCTAAATGCTGTAGACTGTAGATAGCAAGCATTTCACACATCGGAAGCTATGGGCAAAATCACAGTGTCATTTGCTCATTGCCTTCTTTTTTGGATGTACTGTTCCCTAACCTGATATATAGAGCAGTTGGATCAATTGATGATTTCTTTTTTCAAGGTTTCATATATAATTTTTTTGGTTTGAATTGATTGATGGAATGTTTAAATGGATATGGGAGTTATAGGTGTTAAGCATTGCTAAAACAAATTGTAGCAGAATCGTGGCCCCATTATTTCATTTGGAAGACAGAAACAGAAAATGAACGTAGTTTTCTTATGATTAACTAGTGATTATGTGTGCTGCATGTAAAACACCAAGATCTACTATTCCTTGCGTTGTTATGAGATTTTGATGGTGTCAGTCATTCACTTGTACCTCTTTTCAATGATTTAAAGTAATAAGTCGTACATAATAGTAGACTAAGTACTTCATCATTTGGTGGGTGGTTCTTATTGTGACTTGTATAAAAAACTTTTGTTTGGTACTGGCGAAGAGGTCTTGATGTTTTGCTTGAACATGGGGAGAAGCATAAGACATATCATGATCTTCTTTTCTCATATTGCTATGGTTGCTGGAAGCTTGATGGTCTCTTGAATGTATTGACAATTGAGGTAGTTAATTGATTTGCATATTTCTAAAATGAAATTAACGTCGAAATTATTACATTGGAGTTGTTGTGGTGAAAGGAGAACTGCATCTCCCTTATTCATTTAGAAAAGAGGGAGAATCTCTTGACTTTATCTTTCTCGTGAGATTCGAATGGCTTGACTCTATCTTTGTCGTGGGATTCAACAGGTACTCTCCGCTTCTTGAAATTCTTTATGACTGCGATTTCTGCATGGACCTAGAACGAAAGATAGAATATTGTATAGATTGCAATCTCTCAATAATCCTTGATAGAGCTAGTGAAGATCTAGAGATCATCAGATCTGAAAGAAAGAGCAACAAGGAAGAATTGGATTCATTGTTGAAAGAAGTGTCAGCTCGTGTTTTTCGTGCTGGGGGCAT